AAAAAAAAAAAAATACTCTTTCCTATTCTCTACTTTGTACATGCTCTTCCTTCCTCCTGTAACAAAGGTCTTCCTGCTCTTCGCCTCTTGATCCAGGTCTATTGACAGCTTTCTACACATTCTTAAAGACTCAACCTTGTCCTTCTACCAGAAAAGTTCCCTGATTTACTCTCCCAAAGGAGTTAGATGCTCCCATTTTTGTGTTCTTTGTGTGTTCCTTCAGTCAGCATTTCTTATACTTCTACTGAGGGTTTTTGTTTGTACATCCATTTTCGTATATACTCCAATACATAAGATGTAGGGGCAATGCCTCCGAACAGTGCCAGAAAGTATTTAGGACTCAGTGCATGTTTACAGAATTAAGTAATGGTAGGTTCTAAAGAACCCATTCAAATTAGGTAGATTCCCCAGTCTTCCTTCTCTACTCAGTGGGGATCCTTTATGAAACTGTATTTGGTGGAAGAAGGCAGTGTTCTTCATTTAAAAGTATATAAATTTTAAGCTTATATCCATGTGCACAAATATCATGTGCTTCTGCTAGACTTGCCACATAAAGCAAAGAGGAATTGTGAGAGCAGCTCTGTTCTGTAAGTAGTTTCATGTTTCTAGGCGCATCATTTCCCATGATGTTGAAAGGGCTTTTTAATGTGTTTTTGGCTCATAATTGGTGATCTACCAGAAATCAGAGAGAACACAAAACAGACCAGAAATCTGGAGGTGTGTGATAGGCAAATATTTTCCCACTCTTTAGGAAGAAAGAGTCCAGCACTACACAATGTCAAGCATGACATCAATTGTACGAAGAATTCTGGAATGGATTATTAGCTCATAGTTTGCAGGCTATTTGAGAGGGCAGTAACTAGCATTAATTCCCTTAGGACAAGTCACGCTGTCATAGTCTCTTTTCTCAGTTAGGGCTAATAGATTATACAAGAAGGCAAATGCTTTACAGATGTTATATCTGAATTTCAGAAAAGTCTTTAATCACATTTTTCCTGATATGTTTTTATCCAGATTGACCTGGGTGATGGTGTACGTAGGTGAATTTATAATCGACATAGTGCCATTACCCATGGGACATTGATTAATGGTTCTTTGCTGATGAGGAAGACTTTTGGCAGCTTAACACATATCTATTCCTTGTCCTGTTCTGGTTAACATTTTACTAAAGTGTAAATAAAAATATAAAATACATTACTGTCAAAAATATAGATAACACATCATGGCAGGAAGGATGTAGTTTGTGAGTTATCAGGATCAGAATTCAAAATAAGTTTTAGGCCAAAAATAATGAACTGAAAACAGTAATATGAGAATTTTTTCCATGCACACATTATCTCATTCAATTATCATAGTAGGGTATTAATATTATTGATAACCCTCATTTATTGTATGCCCTGAATGGGCTAGATGCTTTCCTTTGCCTTTCGAAATTATTTTTTATGTGGATATGATATTTCTCCTACAGAAAAGGAAATTGAACATCAAACAAATTGCATACCTTCTATGAGGTTGCACAGGTAGTGCTGGAGCTGGCATTTACAAATAAGTCAGTCTGACACTCAAACTGAAAATGCAGATGAAATGTATCAGAGAAGTATACATTCTGCACTCAAATTCAGAAACTTAACTGTAGAAGAACAAAGTGGAGATAATTTAGTTTAGCAGTGGTTTATGTGAAAATGAGTGAAGGGTTTTGTTGTCCATAAGCATCTTATGGATTATCCAGGTGAGTCACTGACATCCTTCCAAATGCATATAATCTTGGATGATAGAACAGATCCCACAACAAAGAAGAGCAAGAGTCATGCCGTGCCCTACCATGCCCTACCATGAGTGAAATATGGTGCTTGGTTCTGAGGCACTCATCCTAAAAGAGCACTGTCTGTCTGTGCAAGCCTAGAATAATTTGACCAGAATGGTGAAGCTAAGTCACATGAATAATGGTTAAAGGAGCTACAGTGTAGAAAACATGCTACCTTTAGCTATATATTAACATTTGTTCATGCATACTATGAGTCAGACACGAGTTTTACTATTTTTCAGCTTTAATTCATTAATTCTCAAGATAATCTTATTAAATAGGTGCTGTTATTATTACCTCTGTTTTACAGAGGAGGAAATTGAGGTGCATAGAGGTCATATAAACTTTCCTAAGGTCACATAGTCAAAAAGTCTGGCCCCTATTTTCAACTAAAACAGGAAATTAAAGGAGGAATTACATATATTATTTAGCTAGAAATGTTTTTTAAAAATCAAACAAGAAAGGCTGCTTTAGAAGAGTACAATTTGATTCCCAGAAACCTAGTAATTTACATTATTTCAAAAGGGCCTTGCTGAGTTGTCTATTACTTGATGCTTTCAAACAGGCCTATTTCTGGAGGGATTCTATAGCATGGAAAAGGATGAGTAATATGATTTACAAGTTTCCTTCCAACTCAGCAAGCCTGTCAGTGTCAGCATAGTCCTATATGATGGATTGAAGTGAGAGCATTTATCCTCCTATGTACATGTAGGAAGTGGATGTACGAAAATCTAGATTAACTGGAACTTGATTTCAGGAACCCTCAATTAATCAAAATGTGTTGCTGCCTTCTGCTTTTAGAGGTGATTTTTAGAAGTTTTTAAATATTAATCCCTTCATCCATGAGTACATACATTCAGATAACAAAGATTTATTGAGCGTCTACTGTATGTGATGCTATGCCTGATTTCAGCTTTGGCTGTTTGTTAGCTCCATTTAATAAGGAGAAAATTTAGGCTCAAAAATTTAAGCGATTTGCACATATTCCCACCGCTACGAAGGTACAGGGAAAGGCATGGAACATAGGTTTGTCAGACTATGTTTTTCCCAGTATATGCTACTCCTCCGCAAGAAAATCAAGTAGATTCATATTTTACAAGTAATTTCAATAGAAAGTGTTCTACTTGTGTCTTGGGTTATCAGCTCAACAAATATCACTGGCTCTCCTTTTGCTAAGAGTGAGTATAGTGTTTGTCGGTGAAGAATACACAGGTTAAAAAAGAGACCAGGCAGAAAAACATTATTCTGTCTTGGAGAGGGCTCGGTGCTGCATGGGGAGGCATCTGAAAACAGATCATTGCAATCAAGTGAGAGAAGCGGAAAGTTAAATTGCCAAGAATGTGCATTCTTCTGATCTTCTTGTTAATTGAAGTTTTACATCCTCAACCTCCAGATTACTCAACAAATGTTTGAGCATGAACGTTGTGCCAGGTATGACGCTAGGCATAGCGAAAACGGAGGAGAAAGTACTAGGCATGGTTTCTGCACTCACGAAGGTTACCGTCAGATTGGACTCCTCAGGTCTGGCCTGGTTCTTGAGATTTCCATATAGGAAACTAGTGAAACTGTGCAGTTTCATCTTACCTAGAAGTTAGGTTAGAAGTCGGCCAGTAAGATAGAACTGGGATATAACAATAATTACTGTTTAAAATAGCTATACTGGGCATGATATGCTGGCCATGATGAATGCACAATGAATATCTGAAGATAGTGGAGTGAAAGAACACCTCAGCTGCAGGCGTGATTCTTTGTTTTGGAGCAGCGGGTCTCTGCTCCAATTGCACATTCCAATTACCTGGGAGAGACTCAGTGCAGTGCCTCCTTCCTGCAATCCTAGCACTCTGGGAGGCTGAGGTGGGCAGATTGCCTGAGCTCAGGAGTTTGAGAGCAGCCTGTGCAACACGGTGAAACCCCATCTCTACTAAGAAACAAAAAATTAGCCAGGTGTGGTGGCACACACCTGTAGTACCAGCTACATGGGAGGCTGAGGCACAAGAATTGTTTGAACCTGGGAGGTAGAGATTGCAGTGAGTCAAGATTGTGCCACTGCATTTCAGCCTGGGAAACTTTAAAAAATCTGATGGCCAGGGCTTCAACCAAGATCAATTCAATCATAAATCTAGGAGGAGGATGGGCTCCAAACAAGTATTTTTAAAAATATTTATTTCCCACATGATTGTTATTTGCAACAAGGGTTAATTAAGAACCTCTTCTCAGTAGAAAACAGACCTGTGAATATTTATAGCTCTAGGCATTATTCACAACTATGGCTATTGTAAGCAATTTACCTTGCTCCATTTCAAACTCTCAGAGATGTGGGGGTGCAATCAGAAATCAGAGATGATGGAAAGTACTGGAAATAGCTCTGCAACCAGCAGGCAAGCCGGTTTGCAATGTCGGCTCATCTTAACTTTAGCTGTGTTTAGAGAAGACCCTCTTACTGGTTCACAGAGCACCTCCGTGTGGCTAAATTATCATGGGCCAACACTGATTCTTGTTTGCAACATTCTGCAACACACACACACAAACACATACACACACACACATATACACACATACACATACATACACACAAACACGTACCCTTCTCAGGATAAAATATTTTAAAACGCTGACTTTAAGGTTTCAACAAAGCATTTAAGTATTTTTCTTATAAACAGTGATTTCCAGAAAGAAAATCATAGCCATATGAGCAACAAGAGGCTGCATGGATCACTGAGAAAACCTGAGTGTCCACCCATGCTCTGTGGGTTGTGGTTTCAGATGACTCTTTGGATCTCAGATTCTTTATGTGTCAAATGAATCAATGGGACTCTCTGACTGCATTATACTAATGTTCTATAATCTATGATTCACTTTCTAGAGGACCCAGCCAAGTTGGGGATTCCCTTTATTTATCTAGATTAAACTCTTCAGACTCTTAAAGAGGTAGAAGGAAACTGTTCAAGATGAGCAAAGTGGTTTTGTTCGTTTCCCTTCCTCAACCTGTTTCGTGCATCACTGAGCTGGGTGAAAAGTTGCTAAGAAAAAAGTGTCATGTTCCAAACTAGGGGACTTTTTGGACATAGATTCTAAAACTTCAGTTGTGATATTGGCCAGACAAAGTGGTTGGCTTTCTTTGTGGGGAATGGCAGAGAGAAAGATCTGCTTTTCATACATCAGACCCAACCGTGAAATAACTGGGCCTACAGAGTAATCTAATCATGCTTTTGTTTATTCACTTCATATAAAAGTTTCTTCAGAATGCATTTGAGCACAATATATAATAATAATACTATAACATACATTGTGAGAAACATTTGAAAACGATAAAATATTCACCTGAAACAATGCAGTGTTCATAGACATACAAACCCATGGGTCATGCACATTTGTGCCATTTTCTGTAATTAGTCACAATGCTGAACTGAAGGCATGAGACATATTTTACAAACTGAAACTGACATCAGTAAGAGGCCTAACAAGTGTTATCAGAAGAGGCTTCACATTTGTATAATTTGCTACATCAGTTCACATTTTATTATAAAAATTCACATTGTTTTATTGTTTGCTTTTGTAATGAATTGGAACATGACATTCCTGCTTAATGGCAGGCAGGAGGCTAGTTCTTCAAAGTCAGTAGTTCGGGAGCATTCAGAAGAATCATCTGTAGGCAAATGTAGTGTTGCTTTTTGAACCAAAGCCATAATGATAGGAGGACCCAGTTAGAACCCAATTCATGCCTACACAGATTTGGGCAGAACCTGGGTATAAACTACATCCCATTGCCCCCTGCCCCTATCAAACTATACAAAAGTAAAAGCTGAGTATAAATCATTTAGTATCTAATGTGAGAATCTTGTTTCCAAAACCGGTTCATAAAGGAGTTGTGCAGAAGTAGCAACTCAGGCAGGGAAAGAAAGGGCAGACCCTCTGAAAAAAAGCGCCCCCCCACCCCCCGCCCCCTCCTCTCTGCAAAAGGGGCTGTATGTCTCTCCTAAGTGACATTTGGGTTATATGATACACAATACAAAACATTACAAGAAAAGGTCGTAACTCTTAGGCAGAGTTTTCTACACAAATTTAACACCACCATTGGCAGGCAATGTTAGATATATAAATTAATAACTTACAAAACATTACATTATATACATTAAGTAATAAATACACAGTTATAAACAGGACTGGAGGTGTTAGCGCAGAAGGCAGTGCGAGAGAAGGACAGCAGCATTACATTGAGAACAGCGTAACCGGGTGAAGAGAGGAGGTAGGGAATGGGACACAGAATGCACAGCTCCTGCGGTGGGGGGTCCAAGACAGCAGGGCGTGCTGCTGAGTTCTACGTGGACGCTCATGGTGAGCGGCACAACTGCCCCTTTCTACCTCCTAATTTGTTCAATTTTATTGTGTTGAAAGCAAAAAGTTAAACTCCAGAGGAGAAAAAATACTGCTGGAGGCAGGCAAACAGAGATAAGTTCTAAGAGTGACTGTGGAGAAGGAAGTGAGATGTGGTTAGAAGTGTATCCTTTCTGTCTGTTTGCAAAAGTAACTGTAGTGAAGTGAAAGATATTGCCCAAGAAAGAAGGAAGACTATTTTCTTTCCTTTTTCCAGAAAGAGTCAAAAAGGTTTGTCAATTTTGAACGCTTATCTGTGTAGAAGTTGATACTAAACTCTAAGGTATTCAACAGGCATTTGAAACACGTGAACATGTTTTACAAAAAAGGCACACAGGTTGGCAGACAAAGGGACAGGTGAGCAGATTCATAAATGAAGTTATTAGTGAGTTCAGTCACTATCGGGGATAGGTTCCCGAAATTAGTGCAGAACGATCTCTCAGTTTCGTGTCTTCCATTTTCAAGCCGTGTATCATGGTCAGAACCGGCCGCCAGCAACAGCTTCAGCCCTCTCCACCAAGCTTGCCAACAAGGCAAGTCAACCGTGGGATTTCCTGAGCTGCTATTCGCTTCGTGGTCTTGCATTCTGACTCCAAACTCAAGTAACTGAAAAGCCAGATGGCCCTTGTCCTGTGCAGGCCTCGGCCCCCATGGTGGGCTGGCCCTACCTCATAGCTGGCATGCTCATCAAGGGTAGAATGTTCATCTCCACAGGGAGAGGGGGATTATGTGTCAACTGGGGACGTGTCTTCTGTTGCAATGTCTATGTCAGTTTCTCCCAGGGAATCTCTGTTTTCTGGATCGATCACACAAAGTGTCTTTGTGCTGCTGAAATAGCTGTGCCCCTCTCCCTCCTTCTCAGGTCCTTCAGAATCCTCCTCATCGAGAGTCAGTTCAAACTGAAACTTCTCCATCAGACCCTGGCAGTCTCTGTTCTGCTCGTCCAGTGGTGGTGAGGGGCTTTGGGGTATCATGCTCTGATACCAGTTCCTGTTATCTTCTAAGGTATCGAGAATGTCCTGAGCATCAGGCTGTACCAAATCTGCCCAGGTCTCCCACAGTGGATGGACGATGTAGTCGATAAAACCAACCTGGAGAAAAATCAAATTACACATCTGTTATTGTGATGGTGCTTGAAATGTTAATGAGCTGTCCTGGTTTCCATGCAAAGAAAGAACATTAATGGCTTCAGAAAAACCAGTCATAATGGATTCTGTGTTTTGGGCACTCACTATATGGTGGGTCTTACACTGAATGCAATAGATGTAGTCTCTCTCTCTCTTAATCCTGTAAAGTAAGTGTTGCTGTTTACTGTTTACAAAGGCGGAAACTACGACTTACTGAGATTAAATATCTTGTCAGAGGTCACAGAACTAGTAAGTGGTGGAGCTGGGACTCAGTCCCAGTTTCGTCTTATTTCAAAGCCTGTGCTCATCCCACTACAGCCGACTGCATTTCCTTTTATGTGTGCCAGATAAGAAGTCTGGATGGAACCTGCGTTAGGAATGACTTTGTCACTACACTACTCGGATTCTGTGAGTCATTTTCTGAAGAAGGAAGGTCCAGGTCTAACGTGTTTTGACTCAATATTTTTTCCTTGTTAACTTTAAAATATGTTGCTATTCCAAAGTGATGAGGAGCTGGCCCCTGACTACTCTGGAATTTCTCAAATCCTGTGGAGTGCTTTTGGCTGGTAGAGGAGTTTGATGAAACACTTGAAACTACTTCAAGCCCTGAAAGAAACACATATCCCCTCGGTGGACATGTATGCAATTGTTTTGGATCTACAGAGCACACAGTCATTTCCATCAGGAGAAAGAAGAGAAAATAAAAAACAATTAAGCAGTTCCTTTTGCTGGTGTTCCTGTGATTAAATACCAGGCTTATGGGTCTGTTATGGTTTACTCAGAGGCTATGCATCCTGCATGAGCTAGCAGTGTGGCCTTATGCTGGCCTCCTCATTGTTGGACAAACAGGAAACACTGGGGGTGGGGACAAGTAGAGAAAAAGAATAGGCACTAGTTGAATGAGGGAATGGAATTCCCCCGCCACAGTCTGGAGCGGTAGAGAGATGCTGGGCTGGGATTTAGGGGTAGATGGGCAAAGGGGACCCACCCATGGGATGTCATATAGGTCTCTTTCAACACTGCTACAAACTTCTCTTTATTAACATGGTATTTGGCCAGTCATTTAATACATCCAAGTTGTACTGTACACAAGAATTTTGGTCATATGTGACTTTCATACTCTCTCTCTCTATATATAATATATAAAATGTATAATGCATATACATATGTATATATTTTTTCTTTTTCTTCTTTCTGGTACTTTCATAGCCTCAAAAAGCAAGATTCACAGCAAAGTCAGGGCATCTCTGATATGCACTGGTTATAAAACTCAACTGTACATGATTCAGATATTTCTCTCACTTACACCCACTCCTTTTCCTTCCCCTTTACTTCTTTATGTCTGCTTAATGAATGCTAGAGACTATTTTCAAGGTGTTTTCCAGGGAGCCCAAATAACAAGCTCAAGGCAATGGAGAAAATTAAATAAGTGGAACACAGTGCAGTCATTTCCTTTCTTTACTTGTTTTGTTTCTGCTAAGAAATGCTGAGAATTTTTTTCAGAGGTAGCTGCTAGTTATTTCCTAGGTCAGAGGATGACAGAGCTGTACGGATCCTGAAAGCACCCAGTAAAGAGCTTTACTGCTGGGCTAATCAGACGTATTCAGCAGCACCCATCGGTGGGAAATACAAGAGTGGGTAACGATGTCACAGTAACTTGAAGACATGTCCCTGAGATGGAGAGTGAAGAGCTTTGGATGGAGACACCTGCTGTAGTGAACCGAGAGGACAGCTTTGTACCTGACATGCTGGGGAAATATCCGCTTTATCTATCTTGCAAGGTTGTTTGGGGATCTAAGTAGGAGAATATATGCAAAATGTGTGAAATGCTCCACAGAACATCATATAAACATAAAACATCCCTGCCATTAATGAAAGGGTATTATTCCTCCTTACTGATTCATATCTTGTTCCACTTAAGCCTTTGGGCTGTTTGAATTGACCCTCATTAACAATCTTATCGTGCATTTTTACAGCATATTAGCTTCACAGCACTTTCAAATTTTAAAACTCATTTAGTTGGGTTTCTCTAAGAAGCCACAAAATAAAATTGCAAAGGAACTGTACATTATTACAGCTATATGCAAATTTGGGGTTTGCAAGTAGTAGGGAAAGAGGATAAATACTGACAAAAAACAATCCAAATGTTTTTGGGATAAAGACCTTGGACAATCTATGAACTCATTCTCCATCTCAGCTGCTTGGCTCAGCCCATTTGTTTTCTTGAAAAAACTGGTGTTTCAGGGAGCCCGGAAGCCTTTGTAGGGATACTGACACTTTCCATTGCTGCATATTCTGCAGCTATTGGCATCTGGACATTTCTGTATCCACCACCTCCAGACTATCGTCCCCTGTCCTAAACATACAGAATGTGTAGCTTTGGACACAACTGGAAAATGTTGGCATGTTCTCAAAATCATAGCAGCATCCTTGGGAGGGGCCACAAGACAGGGCTTTGACTAGGGGGTAAAAGAGACTGCCTCTGGTGATGGTCGCAGTGGGCTTGATTAAGGAGAGAAAATAAAAACAGGGTTGGAAGCAAGGATGAGGAGTAGAGCTTTTGAATGAAGACAGAGCTAGGAGAAATCCACAGGGATGGGATGGAGGAGACACCAGTGTTCAGGTCATTCAGCTGGATATGCTAACATCAGAGGCAATGATCTAAGTGATTTAGGGATACGTAGTCCAAATTTTGATGGGTTTTTGGTAACTACTTTATTCCTACCTTGTGAACTGAGTATAATGGAGAAGTCACATGAGTCCTGGCTATAATGGAACAAAATGCGTAGTTGTTTCCTTATCGTTTCATTTATACATATTCTATTGGAAGAATGGAACTAAATATAACCCTCCAGCTCTACAACTTTCAAATTTTCGCAAAACCTTTGAAAATCTCATATTAGATACCTGGGATTTTTCCACAGAAGCTGTGTGTTTATCACACATCGGGCTGATTTCCATTCCCCTCTCCCGCTCTTTATCTCCCTGCTGGAAGAATTCCTCCATGATGCGGTCTGTCCATTGCCGATACAATTCCAAGGACTTGGTGGGGTTGCTCAGGTCTGCACAGTGTACCATGTTGCGAAGAACCTGAAATCATCAAGTTTTGGAAATGCCATAAAATTAGGTGCAAATACTGCCAGAACATCTCATCCCTCTCATCTCATACTAGTACACTTGGTACTAAACCCAAGAACATTTTAGGTGCGTTATAATTATGAAGTATGCACCGAACAAACAGTATTACAGTGCTGCTAGCCTGGGTCAGTTATTTACCTTTATAGAGTCCCAAAAGGGAAAATGTGTGTCTTCTTAGACTCACAGTCACCGAGTTTAAAAATGGGAAGGAACATTAGAGGTCAGATGCTGCTATCATTTCCTTTTCTCAGTTTGGAAAGAATGCAAAGAATTACTCAAAGTAGATAACTTCATATTTTCCACTTGTGGAAAGACGAGAACAGCTGATGGCAATTTGTATATCCAAAACAGACCTCACAAACTTCAAGTCAATAGGATTTAAATCCAAACACAAGCTTTTGGAACCAACAGTCACGTATGCCCTATTACAAATAGATTTTGCAATTTATTTATAGAACTAATACGCAATTCCACAAATAGGGTTTGTTCCCCCTGACAAATCGGAGCATAAACTTGAGTGTCCATATTCCTTAGCTTATTCTTAAAATAAGCCCTAAGCTAGAGTAGTAGCCTAGGATATACAAATAACACAATTTATCTTTGTTTTCTTTTTCTAATTGTTCAGCTTAGTTTGGTTTGGTATTGCATTAAATAAAAGACTTTCAACAAATACCTGAATGCGATCAGTATAGTTGTCAAGGAGAAGAACGCCTGAACTTGTAACTTTCTTTGTTTCTACCATTGTCTTCAGGTCTGCCAGCAGGCTCATATGTTTAGACATGTCAGTTGCTAACACCTTGGGTAAAAAGAAGATGAAAACTGTTAATAAGCTCAGTCTATCAGAGAGAATGGCAGTAAGTGGGGAACGTGGAGAGGCTGAAGTCTTACCATGTCAATAACCATCTTCCTGAGTGTCTGACGCTGCTTCTTGGTGAGATTCATGAAGATGTCACAGTGTTCTTCTTGCAAGAGTTTGAAACCCACGGCAAGGTGATGATTTTCCAACACAGATTCATCATTATACATCAAAGCAAGTTCCGAATCTAATAAATCAGACAAAATGATGACTTAATAAGAAAGGGCTATGATTTGAATGTTGGCATTATCTCAAAGTGAAATCGGACCTAGTTCTCTCCACATTATTTCAAGAACCACCGGCTACATCTCATTTCCTCGTAGAGAGGCAGTGGCCCGTTACAAACAGAAGTCATTTCTAAGCAAAAAATGCTTCTCTTGGTATATAAGCTTTCTCTGTGATTAAAATTCATTGTATTTTAAAATCCTTTTGCTCCTTCCATATCTCAGATAAAGAATTTAATATTAGTAAGGGCATTCCTGAGCAGCTAAATCCTATTTTTATGTTTCTTCAAAAATTTTGTATTTTGGAAAAGCACAACATGAAAGTACCACTAAACTTTATGAACGATATCAAGATTTTCAAGCTATATTCACATTTTATTTGTTCTCTAATCTGTGGCAATTGTGAATTTTGGATTGTTGAAGACAATGCATAAAACCGCATTTTACCTAAATAATGTCACTTTTTAGAGCTTTCTATGAATAGGGTACTAAACATTACTACTTTTTGGGAACATTTCTGATGTCAAATTTTCTGGCTCTTTTCACCAGAAGTTGCAATATCTGGAAACCCAAGCTGCAGCTGCCAGCCTGCCTTTATATAGAAGAATCACGGGCATCTTTTGTTAGACAGAAATCTGCTTGGGAATATGATTGTCAGACTTGTCAGACTTTTCAGACTTATGAAACTACATTTTCTCTTAATCAACAATACCAGACAAGTGGTGGTAATGTGTAACTTTATTGCAGGTGCTGTTATGCATCTATCATTGCTTTCATAGTGTGCTCTCAGTTACAACCTCAGATGAGTACTCTTCTTTTGCTCATCCTATGATCAAGGGCACTGATCTACAGGCAAGCTTTATATGTTGCAGTGCTATAGATGACTGCAGTAGGAAGACCATTTTTCTGTGTGAGGCTGACTGGCTTATATATGGATTAATTCATAACACCACACTCTACCAACTGATATAACCCATGCAGACAAGTAGCTGCCCCAACATTTTGCTCATTCAATAGAAGAATGAAGTAAAAGAACCCAGGGTACTCCAAACCCAGATCATTCACATATTCCTTGGATAAACGTCAAGGTCTAATGATCAGGACTTTTTTACAGCCAATAGCTCAAAAAGCATTTCTAGAAAACTGTCAGTACTTGATGTTATTCATGACCACAGTGGAATAACCAATATTCTCAAAGTACTTAGATTTCCACTACTTAGTGTATTATTTGAGAGAATGAATAGATTTTCAAAGCTATGAAAACCAAACATTTTAAGCATGAAAAAACCTTTGAGTATGGCTTGGGATCCTAAGGCTGGACCACCCTTGGTCACTGAGGCCATAGCTACTCCCAATCCATAATCAAATCTATGCAGTTGGAAGAAAATGTGTGGAACTTTTAATGACCCTTCCTTCTGAACTGTGGAAACTCATTCCAGGGCTTTTTATGGAATCTTATTTTTGCTTGGAGGTTCCCATGCTCAGATTCAACATTTGTAGCTGCTTCCTAGGCAGATAGGAGCAGTACTGATTTCCTATGCTCTGTGTGAGTTTTGCATAATATCGAAAGTCCTTATCATGTGATCCCCAAACCTTTTCTTGTTCTTACTGAATAATTCCCTATCTGGTATATTTTCCTTACATATTGCATTGCCAAATTTTGAGTACTTTTTATGGTTCCCTGTGACCCTCTCCAAGTTCTTCATGAAGCTCAAACATTGTGTTGCCAGACTGGACCAAGTATCCAGGAAAGGCCTGACCAGTTTGAGAGGAACGGAAGGATTGCCTCATTATTATCCTTGTGATTATCCAAAATGAAAACATCAGGAGGAAAAAAAAATTAAGCAGTGAATCATACAATTATCTGGAATGACTGCTCTAGTGGTGAACTCACTTGTGTTGATGAGAAACTGATTGGAGACTCCAGGGTGATCAACGTCATGGATGGCAGCTGCAAAAATGGCAGCCAGGATTTCCAAATCTGTGAAGACAGCCTGTCGGGCAAATAAACACATTTAACTCCACATCCAATTTGCCTATCCTGCTTATTCAATTTCATTTGCAAAGTATTCTATTTTATTTTTGTTGGGAGAGGGATTGTTCATTTATATAATATCTCAATATATTAATTTAAGTAAATATAGTTTCTGTTCATCAAGTCTCTGATGTTAAAGAAATGATGTCCAGAGCTCAGTCTCATATCAAGCCTAAAGGCTGATGCTTGGAAAGACATCAGCACAAATCTCATGGTGTGTGTAACCATCTAATGCTTGTTTCTTGGACCAGTGATGTGGCAGCATGGTGCTTATGTAACACAAGCACATACCAGTCAAAGAAGCAAGTCAGACTGTGCTGTGCACTGAGATATAACAACCTTCATATGCTCTCAGCTGTATAACTTGGAGAAAAGTGGCCAAATTTCTGATTCATAAGATAAGCAAATTGTTTCCCAAAGCTAAATTGATGGTGTGGTCACAGCTTTTAGATATTATTCATTCATTCGATATGTATCCACTAATTATTTGCTATGGGCAAGATTTGAGAACCTTCCTAAGAAGTGAAACCTGAAACCCCACTGCTCAACTCCTTCATGCCATGTCATGAAGGCTTCTCTGCCCCCACCCATGCACAGTGATTCAAACTAATATTAATAAGGTATATACTGGTGCTCATTCTAGGGCTGAAATTTCTTTCCTCATCCTCTCTGATTAGTTAAATCTTCTGGTCCTTCAAAATGTCAGCTTGAGGTGCATTTCACTTCTCCTGTAAAGACCAATCCCATTACTCAAGCACTCACTGAACTCCCCCTTTTCTAAAAAGTTTGCAGCACTCATGGCCAATTTCTGGCCACACAATACTATTAATAACGGCGGGCAGTTGATGAATAGTGTTGGCTCACTCTATGATACTTATGCACGATATAAAAACAGTACTGTTTTTCTCCTTCAGAGGGAGCAACACCCTTAGCTCCATCTCACTTTCTCAAGACCACCTGGATTTTTTTTCTCAGATAATATGCAACTCAAGCAATCGAGTTGTGGTCAATCCTTTTTTTTCGACTTCCAAACTGAATCTGTAAAGGTGGGGCTGGATAGGGCATGGCCAGTCCCTTCCTGCAGTGGTCCAGCACATTTTGGGAGTGACTGATCATCATTTTCATTTCTCAAGTAAGAGTATGACCTGCTGTACACATTGTTGATTATACTGGTATACACAAATGCATTAATCTGTAAAGGAAGGAGCCACAGCCACCTTCTCAGGTTTGGTATGGCAAATTTGAATATTGTTTCTCTCTGTTTCAGCATTATTTATTCTTCTATTCTAGATTTTCAATTACTACTTCTTCAACACATAGAATCCGTTTTATAAATTTTTAGAAGAATAAGCCTCTGGATGCTTATTACAAATAAGAAATATAGAGAATATTTTATATTTCTATGATAAACCCCTGGAGATACAATGCTCAATATATGCCTAGGGTGGTGTTGGGCAGTTGAGATCAGTAATTGCATATTGAGACTATACTATCTACCAGACACTGAATGAGATACTTTGAGATACACTGCATCCCGTACTAAGAAGGAAATGAAGAATAAGACATGATTCATACCCTGAAATTCTGCTCATTACTTTAATGTTGAACAACTTCTAATTGTAAGAGATGTGAAGGGAAGATTACGCTGATATTAGAAAGCAAAGCAAGTAGACATGTCATTCATTTTTTATAAATAACTCGGTAAACAGATGCTATACATCTTATAAAGAACCAGTTCAAGCATGCAGGGTGGTCTGATTATTTTTGTAAGTATATTGCATATAGTAAGGCACTTTTTTTTTTTTTTTTTTTTTTTAGAGACAGGGTCTTGCTCTGTTGCCCAAGCTGGAGTCCAGGGGAGCAATCATAGCTCACTGTAACCTTGAACTCCTGGGCTCAAGCAGTCCTCCCAATTCAGCCTCCTGAGTAGCTAGAACTACAGGCACATGCTACTACATCCAGCTAGCATGGCGTTTTTGGAGGAGGATGGTCAGGAATGCAAAACGGATCACAACTACTCACATCTAATGCTGGTGTAGAAAGGAGAACATGGGTCGACTGGGCTACGTCGGCAGCATGCAGGCTGTTGTGATATGCCACATCAGAATGGTAATGGTCTTCTAAAGTCATCATGTAGGTTATAAACGTGTCAGATGAGATTCTGAATGTCTTTAGGAGGTCTCTTTCCTATGTTGTAAAATGGATTAGAACATAAATAAGTAGATGTCCAAAGGTGGAGGAAAGTTAAATCAGAAAAGTAAGATGGAAAAAAAAAATCATAAAGAGCCATCCAGTTGGAAAGCCAGCATTCACTCCTGTTCACTCACCTGGAATATAGCATACATGATGCATGTTAGGGGCCTATTGTGGGAATATCCAGCCACATTAAAGATGTTAAGGCCCCATTTGTTCAGGTCTTCCAGCTCCTACAATTAAAAATTTAGAGGAATTTAGAAATAAGGACAGTTGTGCTAATATGACTCATCTCTTAATTTATTTTTTGGACACGGGCTGCTTAAGTCTTTAGAGTGTCTCCTTAGAGTGCATTAGTTGCATGAAAATCTGAAAGTTAAATGGCCTAAGAGGTCAAGTGTCCTCTTCATGATAGCTACAAGTTTCTGAACATTTTATATTCAGAAAAAGCAGAGTATGTATTCATAAATTCAGTTGCTGACCTATATTGCACATGCATCAGTCCTCAACCAATGTTGCTTTCAAAGGTGGCCACAAGTGAATAGAGATCACTCTAGTTCAATTTCCCTGTCTCTCCTCTTGCTGCTTACTGGCCCATTAGTAACAACTGGAAAACAGTCTCAGGGAAAACTCCTCTGCCCATTGGTTATCATCACTGAAAGCCAGATCATGAAGATTGAGCTGTCAGAATGTGCATAAGTCAACCCAATTTAATGTAAAAGATCGTGAAGAATGCCAGTCATTAATTACATCCTAGGGCTCCTGGGCCACAGATGGACCTGGAAGAAACATCACTCAGGCCTGTGTTGTGGGATTATACCAAGGTTATCTGATTTAAAGACCAATTTATTTCATTCTTAATAACTAGCCAGAGTAAGAGATCCAGGCTTTCCCCTCAGACTTGGCCTAATGTTTAATCAACCTTCCTCTAATGACAGCTTTCAGAGGCCTTATTGCTCATGGTAAACTCATTTCATATGAACTTCCCTAATGCAAAACTTAATAATAATGCAAAAGCAATCCCTACTATTTTCTAAAAGGTATATGGTCATCTGTCTGCTGTAAAGCAGAGAGCTATACGTGCAAAAACTGAGTTCATACACACCTTGGCCAGGTGATCTTCATTTTCAGTGTTGACTCCAAAGCGAGAGATGCTTGTATTGTTTAAGCTTGAACTATGCATTAATTTCTTCACTCCACTTATCTGGGTCATGAGCTGCTGCTTTTTCTTTTTCTCCCTGTCTTTCTGGGTGGGAGATGGGATCTCCACATCATTCTGCTTGTCTGCAACAGACAAAGGAATATGTTTTTCAGCACACGTGTCTATGAGAACCCATTGCAATATTCAGAGCAACTCTAACCATCTATAACAGCTTTAGAATCTTATAAAAAAAACTCTTAAAGAACTATTTCACTGTATCTCTAGGGTAGTTCTGTGAAATAAGCAGGGAAAATACAAAATTTGTTGAGGAAAATAAGATTTATTGTTTCATGTTATTGCTAGGCAAATTAAGGCACAGAGTAACTTGTCCAGGAAGCAGCAAAAAATAGGATACAAGCCCAGATCTTCTGTTTTCAGTGTAATTTAGGAGAATTACACTTATACATTTGCAAGATGAAGCACCAATATTTACATGTAGATTTTAAATAAAGTGAGTAACATTTTTATAAAATAAAAATGTTCATCAGGTTAATAAAAAAAATCAGGCTTCTTCATGTTCTGCTCATCTTATTTTTACTTAAAAATATTTAAAAATCCATAAGGCTTTAGCAAGGGCTCAGTTTAAATGAGCAGTATATATGTTAGAAATATAAGTGGTTCATAATCTTTAAACAATTACTTTAAGGGCTTGGTTTATTACCACTGAGGTTAGAGGAAGACTATAATTTCAGTTTACTTCATGCCTTATGTCCATTAATTCTAATAAATAATAATAAGGCCTCTCATTTATAATAAGCATTATACTTATTAACATATTTAAGGTTATTAAGTATTTATGATACCTCATAATATTTTTAAAAATTATGTTACAACAAGGTAACAGCAGAGCTGGGATTAGTGAAAAAAAAAAGTGCCTCCCTGCTTATAGAAGCTCTTTCCTTTACATTGTGCTATTAAAAATATCAGCAATCAAATATGCCATTTCACTTCACAGGGAGCTGTATCCTGAGTACTTCTGAAAAAATGCATTAATTCTTTCAGGCCACAGGGATGCCGCTCATTAACAAACGAGTGCACAGAGGCAATCATGTCTTAAATTGCATAACTACTACTTCACTGAACTAAATGACACTCTGTGTTTGAAAGAGTTAATGCAGCTTTCAAAAGTACCTACATTTATTACTGCTACTTACAGTGAAAATGACATGCTCCCAGATGGCATTCTGGGATCTAGACGATTTGCTTTCAGACTTTTGCAGAAAATGGCACACTCACATGTTTTCCCCAGAGACCTCTGGCTGCTCATAAGTCCCTGTGGACACTTCATCAGAGCAAAGCAAGAACAGTGAGACAGCACCAGCTTTGTGTACACCTTACTACTTCTCTGTGGGGCTGAAGCAAGGGAATTCTCCATCCCTAACGTCTCAATATTGTCCCTAGGTTCCACAAGCACCTACACTCACAAGCCTATGACTTTCGCTTAGGAAGGAATTTTAGTGGTCATCTCAATTAGTTTAGGGGTTTCCAGCCTAGTCCACCACGAGAAGCACCCAGGAAACTTCAGAAAAATACAGATTTACAACCCCACCCAACCCTACTGAATCAGTATTTTTTTAAAAGATTCCCGAGTGACTTGGACAATCAGAGCCAGCTTTGAGAACCAATAACAATCCCACACTCTCATTTTTCAGATGAAGTCAGCAACTTGCCCAAGCTCAAAGGGCAATTTATTTAACAGATATTTATTTTGTAATCACTTTGTTCCAGACATAGTGATTTAATAGCATAGAACCCAGGCCTTGAGGTTCCTGTTAAAAATCTCTTTCCTGCCACGCAATCTCTGGCATAAAAACTATATATTATATTATTTTGAAATTACTTTTTTCCCTGTCATTTTAACGTCTATTTTACTACTTTTTGCTAAAATGAAAGGCCATGATAGGACCTGCCTTTCTAACCATCATTCTTTATCTCTGGTTAAAAAGGCTCTTAGAATCTCCTGTCACTGCATATATAACCATTTCTAGTAAGACTAGCAGCTTTTTCCCTTTGTTTAATTAAAGATTCACTGCACCAGTGAGTAACTGAGCTGAACCACTACTGTGTCTGGAACACTGCAATAAAGAAGTAGACTATTATTCACAAAGAGTGCCAACTTGACATTAATGGGTATTTCCCTATGCAGGCATTGGAACAGCTGATAGGTTTCCCTATTCTGAATTTCCTCTATTAAATGCTTAGCCAGCACAGTGTGGAAATAATCGGAAATTCAGACTCAAAAAAATCACAATAAACACTGAGTGAATTTACATTTATGGAATGGTCAGAATACAGTGGGCAAACAGTTGGCCAGTATAAAACAAACAAAAAGCAGAGACAAAAATGAGTCTCATCTAAATTCTGCTACTGGCATAATTTGAGGTTCATGTCTTGCTAGGTCACACTTTTCAATTATGCAAAATTCCTAAGCTCTTTCCTTTGCATCTTGAAAATTCTAAGTTCTGGCTTTTGAGATGGTAAGTAGAGGATTTAAAAGGATGACTTTTCTCTGTTCATGAAAATATTAACTAACTGTAATATAACATCTAAAAATCTTGCATTATTTATTCTCCTCCTCCCTAGGTCCTGCTTTATTTCCCCTGAAATTAGACACTTCTATTTCCCCCTGTACCAGCAACCAGGAGCCCATTAGATGACAGCATTGGTGAGTGCCTGGACTGGTAACTAGAGTCTGCTGAGTCTGCTGCCAGCCTTTCTCCCGGTCCTCCTGCACCATTTTTTTTTTTTTTTAAAAGATAGGAACCACACAAGTTTCACATATCTCTAGACTAAGGGATTTCCCTCCTCCCTGGATGACACATTTTTAACATTTAATGGCAATTATTGAGATATTGCTCTTCAAGTTTAAGGTAAATTGCTAAGATCTTCTTATTTTGTGCTCACTGAGATGGTTGCTATGGTCTTACAAGGACCTTTCCTATTATTGGAAACTGTTAATAAACATTTTCTTTTGACACAGTTTCCCTCTTGTCGCCAAGTCTGGAGTGCAATGGCGTGATCTTGGCTCACTGCAACCTCCTTCTCTTGGGTTCAAGTGATTCTCCTGCCTCAGCCTCCTGAGTAGCTGGTACTACAGGCATGCACCAACATGCCCAGCTATTTTTGTATTTTTAATAGAGACAGAGTTTCACCATGTTGGTCAGGCTGGTCTCAAACTCCTGACCTCAAGTGATCTGCCCACCTCAGTCTCCGAAATTGCTGGGATTACAGGCATGAGCCACCACACCCAGCCTGTTAGTAAACATTTTATTTTTAGGTCCAACCATCCTGATTCCTAAAGATTTGTTGCCAAAATATTATATGTATTACTTAAGAGTCCTTATGTGATTTTCTTCTGTATGTTCTGCGTTCCTAACAGCCTTCCTTCCTTGTTAAAGAATTGACAAAGTATTTAGGTCTAGATGTCAAGAGAGCTAAGTCCTAGTTCTAAAATATTAGCCAAGTGATCTTGGTCAAGTTACTTCATCCCTCTGGGCCCCCTGTTTTCTTTCCTATAAAATGAGAGAATTGGACTACAAGGTTTTAGGTTCCCTTGGAGATCTGTAAGTTTATGAAGAAGGCTTCATGGTCTTCCAGGCACATTCACCATGCTCACAGGTTAAGACTAAAAGTCCCATGTTCTGCATAGGCAGTCTGGAAACAAGCTTCATGTGTTTGTTTTTTAAGATTGTCAAATTACAAGCCTAGGGTTCACCACAGAGAATGTAGGTGGTCAGACATGCCTTTTAGCAAAACTGATAAACTCAGTTCATATCAGAGTCATAGGGAGTTAGATTTGGAAGGGATATGAGATGTCATCTATACCAGTGCTCCCACTTTACAGGTGAGGCAACTGATGCATCTTTTGTAATATGATAAGTTTTTTTCTTTCTCTGTTTTTTTCGAAAACATTTAAAGTTCTCATCTGCCTGTCCAGTCTGTTTGATGGGGTTTACCACATACACCCTCAAACACATACACCCACTCACATACACCACCCTCCCAATGCTAAGAGTCTATACAGATTGAGATTCTAATCATCTTCCTCATCTATTTGCTCTTGAATTTAATTTTTGGAACAATGAGAAGCCAAATGATTGATTTTCCTCAAGAGATCTGCCTAAATAGCAAGCAGAATAGGCAAGAAAGAGTTGACGTTTGCCTGATCTTAAGACAGTGTTGAGACTGAGAGCTCATATTTAGTATCTCTTTAAATTTTTATTTTTTTCTACTCTGAGGAATGAATTATATTTATTATCTTATCAACTTTCTTTCTTGGTTGCCTATCATGATAAAAAAGATTAATTAGTAGACTAAGATATTCTTGCTGTCCTTGGTAAGTAGCTACTGAAAGAGACTACCAAGCAAGAGGACTGCTTAGGTCCAGTCTTGGATGATTAAGGTTTCAGAGATTTCATATAGCTTTAACTCCAGTAGTAAGAGTCTCTTCTGAGAAGTCCCCAAGCCCTCATATTTTAAAATGCAATGCTTACGAAGACAAAAATGGGTTCTTGCAGTATTGATTTTATTCTCCTCTCCCACAGACATTAACTGGTAAAAATGTCCCTAAAACAGCTTCCAGCTAATGAAAAATAATTGGGCGTTACACAGACCAGGGTATATCTGAAATTGCTCAGCAGAAGATCCCTGTCTTCAAAGGGATAAAGGGAGAAGAAAAGGATCAGTGTGTAATGTTTTCTGTAGAGTTAGATTCTAGGCACCTCTGGGAGCTAGGATAGATGAAAATTCTTCTCCTTTGTTCTCTGACAAAGGTGTCGCAACTGCAGCTGAAGAAAATCATGTGCTGCAGACATTCACATACTAGAAACAGTTAGAAAGGCACTTGATAATCATGTCTGGTGACCATCCGCCGCAGAGTAATACAGTAAAGCTCTGCATGAGGCTGCTCAAAGAGAGGGCTGATTGATCTGCTCATAGCAAGAACTGCTTTGGTGTTAGAGAAATAGGATTGATTTTAGAAATAAAACCAGAAGAGGTATTTGTTTCAATAAGGCATCAAGGAAAATGCTCATTGATTTAATGCTACATGGCTATGCCAAAAAGAAGAGAGAATGCAACAGAATCAGAATCTAAATGCCATCCATTTACTTTGCTGTACAGACTTGCAGATTCTGTAGGACTGAAATCAAAACAGTCCAAATAGGTTCATTATACAAGAGTTGCCTTTAAGTCCGAATTCAAAAATCCCAGATAATCAAATAACATGCATGACAATAGTTGAGGATTACATTCATGTAATCCTTTTTGGTCAATATCATGTGTTAAATACCAGTAATGCAACAACAGACAACAATAGATAAAGCATCAGATTGGGAAGATAATGAGGCTGCGTGAAGAAGACGAAATCCTTCAGATATTATTAAAATTCTCCCCCTTACCATCCTAAACAACTTAGCTAAGCAATAGCCAAAGCATTTCTAAAGCATATTCTCACAGACTAAATCACTATAGATTTATTCTTCAGCCGTATCCCCTTAAAACATCATATAGGAAACCTTTTGCTCAAAGCCCAGTTATTGAAAGAATTGAAAGAGTACCCTGTCAAAGGAGCCAATGGCACTGCCTCTGAGGCTTGGGTGATTGGATTTCCCTCATTACTTCAGAGGTCTTAGTAAAGATGGAAGTGGGCAGGCAGACAAGATGTTTAAATACAATTAGCCCATAATAACCCTCTCTCTTGGATGGGTGTTTTAATTCTTCTTTTCAAAAACATGATGCTCTTCCTGCTTATTTTTTTTTCTTTTGAAGGCTGGCCTTAGTTATTATTTTAAATGGATTTCTCCTACGACTCAATTCCATCCCAAATTCACATGGGGATGTCCTTGATAGGTTGTAGAAATTAATTCTGAAAACCCCAGTTATAAAACAGGTTTTTTTCCAGTTAATATCTTACCTAAGAAAGTATTTGAAATGTATTCAGACACCTGGTTCCCTGATCGGCTCATCTCTGAGAGGTGTGTCAGCTCCCGGTTCAGCATTCTTTTAAACTGTTTATAAAGAACAAAAATGCATTAACCACTTTAAAAAGAGCAAATGTTCACTTTAAATGTTTCCAACGTTACTGTCCAGGAATAAAGAGACTGGATGAGCAGACACCATTAGATAAATAACACTGTGTCTACAAAATATATCGCTTCAATTTGAAATTATTCCAACGTCACTTTAGGAAAAGAGGGTTTCTTAAGATTTCTTAGAATTAACATTTGATTACTTTTGAAGATGCAAACATAGGAAAAGGAATTTTAATAGAGGTCAAGATCATTCCACTTGAAACTGTAACTACTTTTAAAAATACATTTGTCAGAAATTACCTCTAAAATATAATTTAATAACCTATTTGGTGAGAGGAGATTATATGTGAAAAGTTTAAGGGAAAAAGAAAAGAAAAAAGCATCTTAAAAAACATAGTTAAGTAAAAAGAATAGGTTTAAAACACAGCATAGTACATTGAAATAAAATGTAATATAACATGCTCTTCTTTCAAAATAAAGGTCCCAGTGGGTTAAATGAACACACAAATTAAATCATTACAGATGTCCTCTACTTCACAGAAAACACACAGAGGTAAATGTTTCACATTTTGTCAAAGACACAGAACACAATTAAATTAACCCACCTTGATGTAACCCCAAGATACAGATAACAAATAATTTGCCTCAGGCATTTTGGAATGCTCTCTTTGCCACAATCCACAAATCCCTTTGAAAGAATTCACAGTTCTGAGAGAGCAATCCTGAAAGGATCAGGAAAGCCCTGCAGATCCAGTGACAAAATAATCAAAACTTAGAAAAGACAAAACCTCCAAAATGTATGGCATTTCCTAAGCCAAACAAAGCCCATCTTCGCACTCCATTCTTGCAAGAAGCCTATGCTCCCCGCTTATTTCCTGGCAGAAGAGAGTAATGAAATCAGGAATTGCACGAAGGAGCAAGAGCCTGTCCAAATGTATTCAGCTGGCTGGTTTGAAGCACTTATGAATTATGAAGAGTCCTGGTGGCCGAAGGAGTTTCCACTCTACATTAGTCCTACTCAGCTGAACTCTGCAAGGAAGAAGCAATTCTTCTTTCCTGAGGAATTGCCAGACTAGGAAACACAGCCATCTTTTAAAAAGGAGAAGATTAAAATGGAGGAAGCCCCATGAATATTTAAGTAAATCTGAAGTCGGTACCCTCCCCCATTTCAACTAGGTGTTCCTTAACCCTCTCTCTCCACTGCAGACCAGAATTCTGCAGATGCAGCCTCTGCACAAAAATCCAGCCGCTCTAACTGATCAATGTGATGATGCATTTGATTAACCGACTTCTGAACATTTAAACAAACATTTCAAAAAAGTTAGGACTGTCGCTGTTTTAAGACTAGGCTGCTGGTATGCAAGAATTTTTGAAAACTAGCTTTTTGGAGGATTCCTCGTCATACACCAAACGTATGCCAATGCACTTAGTCTCTTTTCATAGTAAAATGAATGGAAATGAAATTAATTTGAAAAGTACTTCTATGCAGCCTGCAAGTTTCTGACTTCCATCAGCTCATTAATATGCATGTTAGATTGCATATGACAAATGTATTAAACTCTTTTCACCTTTCCATCTAGGATTGAGAGTGTGTTAGGAAACATGAACATTCATTTCCCGATAGAATGGTGAATTACTTGGGGTTATGAGTGACTATGCTTGTTTGATATTTAGTGTTATATCTTCCAATTCACATTCGAAATCTGAGGATTTAAATTAATTTTTATTTTATCTCAGCAATCCCGGGCATGCTGAGAAAGTCATTCCTTCCCTGCAGTTTTCTCTCTCCCTTCTTCCCAGCCCCTCCCTTCTCCTTGTCAGCCTTAGAGCACAGGCAAGAGGAAACACTAGGGATTTACTGCAGTGGGATTCCTGCCTCCAGGCTCATCTCCTTTCCCTCATCTCTCCCCATGGTTACCCTACCCCTGGACTCCCAGGATTTCATTTATAGCAAGTTGAAGGAATAGCAAAGCACCATGGCAACAGCCCCAACTTGCAATTGGCTCTTTTTCCTGTGAGGCATTCCCCTTTCAAATGAGCATCCGCATCCAACAATAGCTTTATTTCAAGTATCCAAGCCCCGGGTCGTGCCATCGCCTGTGCCTAGGAGACCTTGCTTTTGGAAGTGAAGCCAATGCAAGTCAGTATTTCTGCTTGCTGGCTCACCACACCATGCATTGTTCTCAAAGATGTCCAAACACCCTCCTTCTGGGTAACCCTGCTTGCGTATGTGTGTGTGTTTCCCATTATACAATATGTTAGTAACTAGGCATCTCTGAAACAATCATCTCAGCTAGAATGTTTTACTTATTGAACCTCTGTGCAATTTTGAACTCCAGGTGAATCGCATGAATTCCAAGTTATTTATTTTTAAAGACACAACTGCTCAGTCACAATCACCTCCCATTTTAAATCCTCAAAAGACAGACACGCTGCAGACTCAGAAGCTGGAGAAGACAGGTTTATATGCTCTGACCGATAAACTGAATTTTGGCAGAGAGGTACACTTTACTTGGATCATTGTAAAAATATCTTGCAAAAAGCTTAGAGACAGATAATTTCTTCCATAATTTTCTCTGCACTAGACTTAGTCAAATGTAACGTTCAAACAATCGTCTCATTTTGTCTCCTTTAGTCTCTCCGAAATACTTAGGAACGTTTTAGAGTCAGTTAGGGTTGGGTTAGTTCAATAATGCCCTTTTTTTTTTTCATGTATTTTCCCACTATTTATTGAATACCTAAAATGATCAGGGAAAATAGTGATGATATAGCAGTGAAAACAACAACAATAACAAAGGAACAAACAAAAACTCTTCCCCTGCTTTTAATCAGTTTTCATTCCAGTAGAAATTGGTATTTTAGGGTATGGTGTTTAACCACAATAGCAAATGGTCTGGAGAGAATATGGCCCATTCTTTATTAGCTGTTATCAGCATCTCTGCTCAGAAGATAGGAGCAGGTACAAATTGAATCATAAAACGCTGTAGGAGGAAAGCCTTCTCTGTTTATTTTTTTTTCTACAGCCTCCCATTGCCATAGGGCCCTGTTGGGATACATTGTCAACCACTTCCAATATGAGATCAGAGAGGTGGTTCACAGCTGTGGGGTGAAAATAAACCAAACTCCTCACCTTTCTCATATAGTTTAACAAAGGAATCAGTGTACCCATGTAAAACATTAACAGATGAATATCATCTCCCTTCTTCCGAGGTCTAAACTAGTTCTTCTATAAGCCTTTGCTAAGGGCATAGCAATGCTACCAAAAAGCAAAGTCATCTCAAGGCAACAGTAAAACACAAAACATGGCGAAGTATGCAGATGGCGGTCACTTGGTGTCAGAAACTAACCTAGTCCTTTAATGTTGCTTAGCAACGACTGTTGGTTTTCCTTCTCCATAAGGGAGGGCCCAACCACACTGACGAAAGCAATCATTGCTCTCATCAAAAAGCACTTATGAAGGGCCCATTTATGTTGGGCTCTGTACAACTAAGAAAGGCAGACACGGCCTTCAAGGAGCAGACAGTGGGGCGCGGGGGGTGGAAGGGTATCTTTTAGATTCTAGTTTACGTAGAGTCCAGTTAGTATGACTAGTGTTTAACCGTGTGATGAGACGCATTAAGAAATAGAATAGATACGAATTATGTTTTGTTTGAGGTTAAGCCTGAGGAGACAGTTGAGGACCTATGCTTAGTTGGGCTTTAAGCATCTGACTCCCACGTAGGAGTGTTTCTGGTGAGCCAGAGGCAGCCACGACGTAGTAGTAGACAGATCTTGACTTTTCAGTCTCAGCTCTCACTCTCCTGTGTAGTCACATCACCTCTCATGTGTAAAATGAGAATGATGCATGATTTTAGGATTGCAGCCTTTCAACCCTAACCTTTTATACTGTATAATAAATTTTATGGCTGCCTCCTACAGTTTGGACACATTACTTACCAGCAACCAAGACTTCTCAGAAAACAAAACCCCCTCTACATGACTGAGGAAAACAACTCAAACTGAAAATGCTTCAGACCGGAACAAAGGAAGAGAAGCATTTATCATTCCTCAGAGTTTTGTAGTCTAAGACTTTTGGAGTCTCTCTATTTATTAAGTTACACGTTTCGTTCAGATTTGATGGTAAAATAGCTCCTGGGTAAAACTGTGTCCCAAGGAGTTACTGAATTGAAAGGAAATGGGTGTTATTTACTTTATCAAATGCAGTAGAGAAATCCATAAACAGGAACACACTATTTTAAAGATAAATGTGTCTCTACCGTCTCATGTACACAGATACTATTTTTCCTAAGAATCTGCCTTCACAAGAAAACCCTGTCAGAGCCTACCTAGAAATAATGTCCCCAGAGGAAATGGCCAATGCCCCTTTTCAACACAGACAAGCAAAGTTTATGAATGAAGTCTTAGTAATAAAAATTCCTCCAATGCCTTCTTAAGGTGATGCCCAACACTAGACTCACATACACTGCCAGAAATTGCAGCTATTTTTTGAAAAGGGAAGTACATATATTTTCTATATAAGTGATTTAATATTATTTGCCTAGAATATACCTTTTCTATAAAATGTCTGATTTTTTTTGAACAAGTTCCTTTAATAGTGAAAAGTCATTTTAAAAGTAGAGAATACATAACAAAAGCTGAAATTCAATTACACTTGGTAGGAACATTTTGTTTGATGGCTTCCATTTTATTTTAGTTTCAACACTGCATATAGAGATTATTTCTTCTGAGTCAGTTTCTTCTGAATGGATAGGACACTTCCTTACTTTTCTATATTTCTCATGGGAGAACTAGTTTGAGCTTTATGCAAAGATCCATAGGCAAGATAGGTACTATCTTGATAATGAGTTTTTAGTTAAACTAATCACGAAGGAGGAGTGAACTGGAATGATCGCAGGGTCCTCTCACATCTAAAATTTGGCGATTTTATGTTTTTGAGAATAAAACAATCCAGAAGAGTGATAAGGAAGCTAGTATAA